AATTGTTTTAGATTTCTGATAATACTAAATATTTTTAAGACACAATACTTGATTTTCTAAACAAGATTTATCTGGTATATGATTTACTTTATATTTCTGTTATGATCTCTGGATTTCCGTATTTTCGTATCTGATTTTTGAAAATGGAATATTTTCATGTTTTAATGGATTAAACTACCGTTTTCATTCGACTACATACATGTTATTTATATCATTGGGGGTCTTATTAGAGGAAGTATCTCAGGCCTAGTCTATGACTTGTAAGACCTTACCGCTTTTCGCAGGCTCCTCGGCTTTGTGCTCAGGGTAAGTCCTTACTGTAGGCTCCTCGGCTTTGTACTAAGGGTAAGTCCTTACTGCAGGCTCCTCGACTTTGTGCTCAGGATAAAACCTTACTGCAGGCTCCTCTGCTTTGTGCACAGGGTAAGCCCTTACTGGGTTTACAAGTGGGTGTTTGGTTCTGGGGAACCTACACATTCTGGTGATCGGACAAGGGTAGTGTTCATGTTTTTAAAACATGTTTGATAAACCGATTTTACTGAAATATTTTATTTGTATGTTTTTGTACATCATAAGGAGCACACTGAGCTTTCTAGCTCATTCCGTAAATTTTAACATTTTCAGATAATAGCATACTAGGTTAGCAAACTTGACATCAAGAGGACCGACTTCTCCTAATTTTGTAGCATTGTATATTTCTATATACATTTATGTTATATTTTTGTGACACGTGTTTTGCTATCGTCTTGATATATCTATATTACGGATATTTTGTTTCGTAAATATTTTATACATTTTCTATGGTATTTTTATATGTATATGTTTTATACAATTTTCTGACATGTGTATACATATATGTTTATCATATGAATCTTTCTTATGGATTTTAACGTTGTTTTAAATATGAAAAAAATTTATGAATGCGATATGTGACTACCTAAATTTGGGCATAACGTCCAGGCCAGGTCTAAGGAGTTACAACTACCCTGTTCAAATCAAGAAATCATGGGAATCTTAAGGCATTATCGAAGGACCTAAAACATCTTTAAACTCTCCAATAAGATATCAAGTGAGAACAATATTAACGATGTGAGTTTACCTAACCCTATAACTTAAGGAATCATAAAACTAGCCTTGCGTGATGTTTGGAAAATGAAACGGACACCTGGATCGCTCTAGTGGAAGAAGAAATGATTCTATGTTAGGATATCTGGCCAAATTAAAGATAGTTCACTAGGCACTTCTTTGCTAACTAGGCGTAGATGCCCCAAGGCTCGACGAAGAAGATTAGCCGGGTGTGTAGTTTCCAGTGTAGAATTTTGGATCCCACCCCAGGTAGGTTAGAGGGTTGCATGAGCTCTGAGATGTAGCCCCTCAGCCGCACCATGATTCCTACCTTTGTATGTATGATTTAGCTTAGCATACTTGTTTGCTAATAGTGTGTTGTAAGCATGTGCATTAGAGGTTGCATGTAGTATAGTTTGGTTATTAGTGTGGCACTGAGCTTGTGAGCTCACCATTCGAAATTTGTTTCCGTACGCAGGTTAGTAGAATGAGCTTTTAGACGGACCATCACCTAGATCACCTTTCAGTTAGTCGTCAGCTGTTGAGTATGTCTCAGATTCATTATTAGTAAGCATGTATCATATATGGACCCTTATGTGTTTGAGTCGAGTCGATATGTTTTAGATACTTTGTATATTGCACTTAAAATTATTTTTGGGGCTCCCGTAATAGTAAATAATTACCATATATTTATTTTGCTATTTTTGTGATGAATGTACTTTTAAAGTGAAAGAATATGTCGTTTTAGAAGAAAAAGTTTTGGGCCAGCCGCTCTGGTGGTCCGTGTGACACCTTAATCCATCGATCTTTAGGTCTTACTAGATTAGGACGTTACAATTACAATATTAAAACTTAAAAAAATAATATGTCAATATTCTTTTAAATTGATACTAAATTTATAAAAGAAAATTAAAACAATAAGGTGTCGATATTCAGTATGACTCCATCACTGACCAATTTGAGAATGCTTCTGATAATGGAAAAGTGATTTTCCACCCCATAAGTAATGTAAAATACTCAAAAATTGATTCAAAATCATGGTTGGAAAAGTGATTTTCAACCTAACTTCAAAAGTATAAACTTTTAGTTTTGTTGTGAAAAATCACTTTTGACGTAAAATTATATTTCCATCGTGTAATTTTAGTTTATAACATAATGCTTAAAATGATTATTTTATATTTTCAAAATCAATTTTAATAGTAGTCTTAATCAAACAGTTAAATTTTAAAATATAATTTCATAAATATTTTTTACAATATTTTTTAAAATCAATTTTCAAAAGTAAAACCAAACTAGCTTAAAACATTGACAAAGTTACTCAAATATATATATTTATATATGCATATATGCGCGAGCGCGAGCGCGAGCGCAAGCGCAAGCGTCTACATTTCACGCAGTCATGTAAATGTAGCCCTTTTTTAATATCATAAACTATGCTTAGAATTTTAAACATGAAAAGAACAGTTATACTAATAATTTAAATGGGGTTTGACTGGGATTATATTTTAGCTCTTGTGCACCTAATGCAACCCCATGCAAACTATACCCTTCAAAATTAAAGTATATCCCATAAAGTAATGGGATATTCCCTTTTTAGAGGGTTGAGGATGCAGGAGGATATACGGTTGTGAATATTCTTTTCATAATTTGTCTTATGGGTGCATTTACATGAGACTTATGGGTGCATTCACATCAGATTTGTGTACATATGAGAGTGATTTGAATTTGTTTTCATTGATAATCATTATTTAAAATAATAGTAAAATAGTAGTTGTTTTATATTTATATAATTAACTGCAAAAAATTAATTTTAATTATTAAATATGAATTTATATTAAATCCAACCAGTTCTAATTTGATTTAAAAAATATATGTACAAATCCTATACCTATATCTTTAGGTAGGTCTAATTTGCATGAGTAATGATTTTTTTAATTTGATATATTAAATGTGTAATTTTGTGTGTTATTTTGGTAATTTCATTAGATTGTATTACATATGTAACACCTTCAACCTGATCTAGTCAAAAATAAGTTTGACGATGTTACTTAAATTGATTAGAATCAATAACTTTTAACCTAGTTCAAATGTTGGATAATTAATTAATTAAATTATAATTTTAGGAACTAAATTATCATTACAATTTTAATCATGGACTAATTACATAATTTAGCATAGTTTAGGATCATATCATAATCATTATCAACTACCAATGACTAAATTAAACAAATAATTTAGCATAGTTTAGGATCATATCATAATCATTATCAACGGTTAATGACTAAATTAAACAATCTTAAACATTTATTATTTTTTATATCGATATTGTTCATACAATATCGATATTATCTTATAAGAGTACTGATACTAGATGAACGATATTGATGCTGAATTATATTTCTCAACTTTAAAGCTCATTTTAGTATCGATACATTAATCCAGTATCGAATATACAAGTATAACATCGATACTAATTCACGATATCAATACCCTTTTAGGGTTATGAGATTTGGATCAATTTAATGAGTATCGATACCCAAGCAATCAATATGGATACTACAAGTATAGTACTGATACTCTACACTAATATTGATACTAGAAATAATATTGATGTTTCCCTATAAGTTTTTTGTATCGATACCCCTTGTTTCAATATTAATACCATATGCAATATACTCTACACCAAATTTGACCGAGACTATATGCAACATATACATGGTGTAATGACACGTCAATTATGTATCATATCATCAATTTCACCCATATTTTGAAAGGACGAGACCTTCTCTGACCTATATGATATGGTTCACCACTGACGATATGATTATCGTGTTAGGTTGGACTTGATCCGTTGTCCAAATAACAAAGATTAGTTGAGGATTAGTGTAAGGTTGAACAATTCGTTGAAAACCTTCAAACAAATATCACGATGAAGATGGCCTAAAACATTCGAATCCTCTAAACCATAAAATAATTAAAAATGTAAATAAACTGATTATGCACAAATGATAATAAAAACAAAAGATTAGCTTTTAAACTGTGTAATTAACAGCAAAATGGACTATCTTAGCTGGAATAGCTATCACCTTAATTGGAAATTTCCCGATGCCAACCTTCAAATACTTTCATCTTTTAAAGATTTGCTTTTTATCTTGCCCAAATTATGTTTTACTTATTCTTATACTTTTCTGTAGGTTTTTTTTTTAAACTTGTAACTATTTTTCATGGCCATGTTAATCATAATTTCCAACCATTTAAATGCATTATTTTTTCAAAATTAGAGTGAGTAATTTATTAATGAACTTAGCATTATTATCATTGCAATTATAGTGAAATGAATTTATTTAATTTTTCATTTTAGCAAATAAAATCAACAACAAATTATGATTGATGTGTAAATTTTGAAAAATAAAAGATTTATATATTTTAGTATCTAAATTTAACTTATCAGTATCCAATAATAAATACTAATAATTTTACGTTATTTTGTTCCTATAAAGTTAAAACCGATTTGTTTACTTGCCTTTTTTAAAAATTGATTTCAATTAACATCATAACACCAATTAAATAAAAAAATGTTAGGATGATATTATCATTTTAATTTATTAAAAAAAACCCACAAAAATCACTCACAGAAAAGTAATGCCAGATTCTAATATATCATAATCCAAAATTTTCTTTCCCTCAAATCAAAAATCAAAATTAAATGGATAAGGCAGAAATTCCATCCTTTTCACAAATGTTCTTCTTCTTGCCCTGCTAGATATTTTAGTTTCAACTAACCATTTGTTATTATATTTGTTTAAACAATTTCATGGTGCTTCTTCATTTTGTTTTCTTTTTTGGCTGTTGCTTGTGTGTACTATAAACCCCACCTCCCATTTCCCCCTATATATCATGATAATTGATATCTCGTCTTCCATTCTCCACCACATTCATAACCCAAAAAACCAATCTTTTTTCTTTCTCATGCCATAGTCACTAAATCCCTTGTTTTGGTTCCTCATTTCTTGCATCAATGGCGGATTCAAGGAGGTACATTTCCAAAACGGAGCTTGAAAGTCACAAGAAGCCTGGAGATCTTTGGATCTCTATACAGGGCAAGATCTACGATGTCACCGAATGGAGTGTCGACCACCCTGGAGGGGCAGTCCCTTTGCTGAATCTAGGCGGCCAAGACGCCACCGATGCCTTTGTAGCATATCATCCGGGTATAGCTTGGCAATATCTCGATAAGTTCTTCACTGGGTACTATCTCGAGGACTACTCTGTCTCGGAGGTATCGAAGGATTACAGACGGCTGGCTGCCGAGTTTTCAAAGATGGGTCTTTTCGAAAAGAAAGGACACGTTACTTGCATCTTGATTTGCATCATAGCATTGTTGTTTTCCATCAGTGTTTACGGTGTTTTGTTCTCTGACAGCTCTTGGGTTCACCTCATTTGTGGTGGGTTGATGGGGTTTTTGTGGATACAGAGCGGCTGGATCGGACATGATTCTGGGCATTACGTGGTGATGACTAACCGAAAAATCAATAGATTTGCTCAGCTCCTCTCTGGGAATTGCCTTGCAGGGATCAGTATGGGATGGTGGAAATGGACTCACAATGCTCATCACATTGCTTGCAACAGTCTCGATTTCGATCCCGATCTTCAGCACATGCCGTTTTTCACGGTATCTTCCAAGTTCTTTAATTCAATCACATCTGCTTTCTATGGAAGGAAGATGAACTTTGATTCTTTCACTAGGTTCTTGGTTAGTTACCAGCATTGGACATTTTATCCTGTGATGTGCTTTGCTAGGATTAATCTGTTTGCACAATCTTTCTTGTTGTTGTTCTCTAAGAGGAAGGTCCCAAATAAGGGTCAGGAGATTTTGGGTCTCCTTGTTTTTTGGACTTGGTATCCACTGCTTGTCTCTTGCTTGCCTAATTTGCATGAAAGAGTGATGTTTGTGGTTGCCAGTTTTGCTGTAACCGGAATCCAACATGTTCAGTTCTGCCTAAACCATTTTTCGTCTAGCGTTTACATCGGACCTCCAAGTGGGAACAATTGGTTCGAGATGCAAACCGATGGGACGCTTAACATATCATGTTCATCATGGATGGATTGGTTTTATGGTGGCCTGCAATTCCAGGTTGAGCACCATTTGTTTCCAAGGTTGCCAAGGTGCCATCTGCGGAAAATCTCACCATTGGTCAAGGAGCTATGCAAGAAACACAACCTGGCGTACAATTGCGGTTCGTTTTGGAAGGCTAACGTGATGACTATCGAGACTCTTAGATCGGCCGCGTTGCAGGCCAGGGTTCTCAGCAATGCAGTTCCAAAGAACTTGGTATGGGAAGCTGTCAACACTCATGGGTGAGAAATTTGGGATTGAAAATGTGAAGGCTCCTCTATGTTTTGTCATTGCTGCGAGGTCTTCAATTATTATTTACGCTTATGTTTTTTTTTTATGATTAAAAGTACTCGGGTCTCTTTCTATGCTTTTACGTCCATTACTCTGAGATTCATAGATCAAATCTAAAATGGCTTTTAGTATCAAGTTTTGCTTTATCAAATTCTTGCTTCATTGGGTAGCTCTGGTTTGCATTTGCCATCAATTAACAGACAATCTGATTGGGAAAGTGGACCCTAAAAGTAGCATTGCCAGCTTAGAATGTGGACCAATGCTCAGAGCCAATTGAGGTTTATTTGGCAAGATACTAGTCGATGAGTGATAAGTGGTAGGGCCGGAGGACCCAAACCCAAATTAATAATGACCACTTGTTTACATTGAAGAGTGTTGGGACTTGGGGCCACTAATAAACAACGAATTGGTAAGCTGAGTTGGGTGAATTCATTTGGGTTTGTTAATTGTTTTCCCTATATCAATCATTGTTGGTTTAGGTGATGCTGGAGTGAATTGTTAACTTTGTATGGTCAATTTGGATTTTTCAGTCGGATTATTTTGTTAACCATTTTTATAATCAAATTGAAATCAATTAAATCGATTTTCAAGGTCAAACCAAACTTAACACACAATGGGTTTGATTCCATCATATATTGAAGGCGTGTAAAAGATTTGTAATGGAACAAAGACAAAGCCCATAGATAGATTTAGGTGGATTACTCTTCGATGAATAGGTTTTAAATTATTAGAAGAAAAATTTATTTTCAAAAAGAGTAATTGGAGCTACAAAAAGAAAAATTCTATATCGATTTAAGAGTATATGATTCAAATTTGATAAAAAAAAGAAAGAAAATTTAAAGAAATAAGAAAACTAGAAACTGAATAAAAAAATTAAATTACTTTGTTAAATATCAAAATAATTTTATTCTGAACACTGGTTTTTTAAATTAACAAAATCTAAACTTGAAAATCAACTTATTAATTTAATTTAACCAATGGCGTCTACATTTGACCTTGTTGTTCCGACTCTGAAGCTCATAAAGAAGAAGATACCATTGATTTCAGTAAGCACATTGGTCCCCACGCAATTCCAAGCACTTCATTTTACTAGAAAAGGTCAAAAGTTAAAGCCCTTTTTTTTTATCAGTTATCAGTTACTTTCACACTTTTTAATGGCTTCCTCTTCTCTCGTAAAAGATTTCAACAGATAGAGCTTGGCAATTGCATTGAGGAAAGGCGGGACAAAATAAACTGCAATTAAATTACTTGTACTAATTCTCTCGAGCTATTATAACATCTATTTTGGAATTTAAGATAAAACAATTGGATTCAAAAAATAAAAACCTAAACTTTTTTGTTCTCAAAAGGTCCAGTTCCAGATCTTTATCCTTAGATCAACTTTACATTTAGCCCCAGAAACGTTAGCCAACGACGGCGACATACCTTTGGGAATACTCCCTTTAATCCCATCGCAGGTAACCCTAATTCCCACCTTCTTGCTCCCCGATCCACCCATTTTCACCATCACTCTGGTATCCATTTCAATTTTCAAGGACACCCCATTTTTCTTCTTCAGACCCGGTCTTAAGCTGTTCACCGTATCCACATCCAGATCACTCGACGTCGTCACCACCACCCCCCTGAAAGTGGTGTCGTTTTTTCTGTCACTGACGAATGCCGGCAATGCTCCGTGGCCTAAGAACACGTCGCTGTTGCTCGACACGCATGAGACGACGAAGGGGTCGTAAGAGAAGGAGATATATGAGTTTGGGTTTTTGGAAGAAAGGGTTAGGTTGAAAAGGGTTAAGAGGTGGGAGGAGGAGGAGTCGGCGGAGGTCGTTAAGTTCAGACGGTGGACGCGGAGTGAAGCGAGGGTGAAAGAGGGGAGTTGAGGGCGGTAAAGGACGTAGAGCACGGTGCCAGTTATGGCACCCAAAAGCACGAGTACGAGAATTACGAGGATGGACCAGCAACAGAAGCAACAACAACAGTTCCGCCGAGGACGATTTTGGTGACGGCGGTTATAGGGTTGCGGACGGTACGGTGGGCGTGAAGTGGGGTTGTAAAGATGGGATGTTTTGGTACCGCCGTTTGGTGTAGCTGTTTTGCTGGCCGCAAGTCCACCGGCGCCGCCTTTGGCGGCAGGTGGAGCAGCAGCTGTGGCGGTGGGTTTGGAGGTAGGGATTTTCTCTGACATTCTGAAAAAGAAGGTGTGGAATGTGTAAACGAGAGAGAGAATTTCAAAGGCAAGAAAATGAAGGGAAAGTGGAAAGGTGCAATCCAGCCAAAGAGGACGATGCCACCTCACCAGATTCTATAATTTGTTTTCATTACAACGAAAATATTAGCTATATTCAATGTATTATTAAATCATTAAATTGATTTCACTGTTCTAAAATTCTAACTGTTATAAAACTTTGCTATTTAGCCATTGGCTTGGCTTGGAACATGTACTAGACATGTTTGAGTTAGAGTCACCGTTGATGCCTACTTATCTGAATTTTTTAGGGCGTGGCTAGTCAAGATTCTAAAAAATTAAAAATCATTCTTAAAAGTACTAAATTTAAGGGTAAGCTATACTAGTGACCATTTAACTATTATCAGATTTTAATTTGATTATCAATATTTTGATTTAATCAATCAGACCACTCAACTATTTTGATTAATAGAATTCATGCAGATCCAATCCAAGCTCCCATTTATTATTGAGTCACTCATAAATTATTTACTTTTTATTTTGGTCATATAACTATTTTTTATTTTAAATGGCACTTAATTTATATTTTGGTCACTCATCTTTAAAAATTTAACAATGATGTTGACATGTCATCATAAGGTAATGCCATATCATGATTGAAAAATAATTAAAAAATGTCATGTTAACATCGTTAAATTTTTTTAATGGTGAGTGATCAAAATACACCAAAATGTAAGGTTAACTATGATTTTGAAAAAAATAATAGTTGAGTGACCAAAACATAAATTACGTAATACACGGGTGTCTAAATAGTTAGTTTACCCTAAATTAAAAAATGTATGAATTATTAGATAAACATTTCATTATGTTTATCTTGCCTTAGTCTATAAAATTTTTATGGCTGACAGTTCAAATATTTTGATATAATTACAGAAGTGGTCTATATTACTTATATATTCTTTTAATTTGATCTTAATTTTAATAAATTAAAAGTTTTATTTACCACATGTATCACCCTCTTGTTGAAACAAAATAGATCAACACACAAGGAGAGCAAGAGGAATAGAACTAAAGACCGACCAGGTGAGATAAAAGGCAACAAACCATTGAGCCAATGATCATTTATTATAGTTTAAACAACAAATAATATATATCCTATAACTTAGTATGTAAATACTTTACTCAAAATTAATAATATTTTAACTTAAGAATGAAATATCTTTGAATTTGAGATATTTCAAGAACATTTTTTTAAAGTTAAAGATAAGTATAAAATATATATTTTGAAGTTAAAATAAGAATAAGATATATTTTTAGTGAAGATAAGATTAAAATATATATTTTTCATATTAAAATAAAAATAAAATATATTTAATTAGTTAAGAAAAAAAATAAAATAATTTTAAATACTTATTTTGACAAAAAGAATATTACAAAAAATAATCCAGTGTTTGCAAATTAAAGTAAATTTATTAAAGTAGAGGTTATGGTATCTCTCATTGTTGTTTTCCATCAGTGTTTACGGTGTTTTGTTCTCTGACAGCTCTTGGGTTCACCTCATTGTGGTGGGTTGATGGGGTTTTTGTGGATACAGAGCGGCTGGATCGGACATGATTCTGGGCATTACGTGGTGATGACTAACCGAAAAATCAATAGATTTGCTCAGCTCCTCTCTGGGAATTGCCTGCAGGGATCAGTATGGGATGGTGGAAATGGACTCACAATGCTCATCACATTGCTTCAACAGTCTCGATTTTCGATCCCCGATCTTCAGCACATGCCGTTTTTCACGGTATCTTCCAAGTTCTTTAATTCAATCACATCTGCTTTCTATGGAAGGAAGATGAACTTTGATTCTTTCACTAGGTTCTTGGTTAGTTACCAGCATTGGACATTTTATCCTGTGATGTGCTTTGCTAGGATTAATCTGTTTGCACAATCTTTCTTGTTGTTGTTCTCTAAGAAGGTCCCAAATAAGGGTCAGGAGATTTTGGGTCTCCTGTTTTTTTTTTTGGACTTGGTATCCACTGTCTCTTGCTTGCCTAATTTGCATGAAAGAGTGATGTTTGTGGTTGCCAGTTTTGCTGTAACCGGAATCCAACATGTTCAGTTTCTGCCTAAACCATTTTTCGTCTAGCGTTACATCGGACTCCAAGTGGGAACATTGGTTCGAGATGCAAACCGATGGGACGCTTAACATATCATGTTCATCATGGATGGATTGGTTTTATGGTGGCCTGCAATTCCAGGTTGAGCACCATTTGTTCCAAGGTTGCCAAGGTGCCATCTGCGGAAAATCTCACCATTGGTCAAGGAGCTATGCAAGAAACACAACTGGCGTACAATTGCGGTTCGTTTTGGAAGGCTAACGTGATGACTATCGAGACTCTTAGATCGGCCGCGTTGCAGGCCAGGGTTCTCAGCAATGCAGTTCCAAAGAACTTGGTATGGGAAGCTGTCAACACTCATGGGTGAGAAATTTGGGATGAAAATGTGAAGGCTCTCTATGTTTTGTCATTGCTGCGAGGTCTTCAATTATTATTTACGCTTATGTTTTTTTTTTTATGATTAAAAGTACTCGGGTCTTTCTATTCTACGTCTTACTCCATTTCATAGATCAATCTAAAATGGCTTTTAGTATCAAGTTTTGCTTTATTTCTTGCTTCATTGGTAGCTCTGGTTTGCATTTGCCATCAATTAACAGACAATCTGATTGGGAAAGTGGACCCTAAAATGTAGCATTGCCAGCTTAGAATGTGGACCAATGCTCAGAGCCAATTGAGGTTTATTTGGCAAGATACTAGTCGATGAGTGATAAGTGGTAGGGCCGGAGGACCCAAACCCAAATTAATAATGACCACTTGTTTACCTTGAAGAGTGTGGGACTTGGGGCACTAATAAACAACGAATTGGTAAGCTGAGTTGGGTGAATTCATTTGGTTTGTTAATTGTTTTCCCTATATCAATCATTGTTGGTTTAGGTGATGCTGGAGTGAATTGTTAACTTTGTATGGTCTTTGGATTTTTCAGTCGGATTATTTTGTTAACCATTTTTATAATCAAATTGAAATCAATTAAATCGATTTTCAAGGTCAAACCAAAATTAACACACAATGGGTTTGATTCCATCATATATTGAAGGCGTGTAAAAGATTTGTAATGGAACAAAGACAAAGCCCATAGATAGATTTAGGTGGATTACTCTTCGATGAATAGGTTTTAAATTATTAAAAAAATTTATTTTCAAAAGAGTAATTGGAGCTACAAAAAGAAAAATTCTATATCGATTTAAGAGTATATGATTCAAATTTGATAAAAAAAAAGAAAGAAAATTTAAAGAAATAAGAAAACTAGAAACTGAATAAAAAAATTAAATTACTTTGTTAAATATCAAAATAATTTTATTCTGAACACTGGTTTTTTAAATTAACAAATCTAAACTTGAAAATCAACTTATTAATTTAATTTAACCAATGGCGTCTACATTTGACCTTGTTGTTCCGACTCTGAAGCTCATAAAAGAGAGATACCATTGATTTCAGTAAGCACATTGGTCCCCACGCAATTCCAAGCACTTCATTTTACTAGAAAAGGTCAAAAGTTAAAGCCCTTTTTTTTTTTTATCAGTTATCAGTTACTTTCACACTTTTTAATGGCTTCCTCTTCTCTCGTAAAAGATTTCAACAGATAGAGCTTGGCAATTGCATTGAGGAAAGGCGGACAAAATAAACTGCAATTAAATTACTTGTACTAATTCTCTCGAGCTATTATAACATCTATTTGGAATTTAAGATAAACAATTGGATTCAAAAAATAAAAACCTAAACTTTTTTGTTCTCAAAAGGTCCAGTTCCAGATCTTTATCCTTAGATCAACTTTACATTTAGCCCCAGAAACGTTAGCCAACGACGGAAACTGTAACTTGGAATATCCCTTAAAATGGCCCATTTTTTTCAACTCACCAAAAGCTCGTTCAATCACACTACATAATGATGAAGGTGAGTGATTGAATATCTATTCTTTACCCGATATAAGTCTACCTCTACGAAAGTCAGGTAAATGATATCGTTTTCCTTTATAAGGCTCGAGAAAATCTCTCACTTGAGGATATCCGAAATCAATGAGATAATGTTTTTCTATATATCACAATACAAGAAATAAACAATTAAATAATTTATATTTAATTTAAAAAATAGATAAAAGACATTTACCATTTGGTGGGTGTTGATCCTTCTCATCCCGTAACGACAAATGTGAAACACATATTAAAATCGCAAATCGCCATGGCATTTTGAGTTGGTACACCTTTTCTTCTTATCTAGGGAATTTGTTCGTTTGGTGGAAGAATGGTAGGAATATGTATACCATCCATTGCACCAATGCAATCCTATAAATAATCATATTATTATACACACATATTCAAAGTAAATAAATATATCATAAACTATGATATTATAATATAAAAATATTACCTTAAAATAAGGCATGTGTCTAGAATCATTGCGTATTTGTTTTGGATTGAACTAAAAGTACAATCATATACTGCAATTATATCGATATCCATCTGAGAAACTTTTTCGAACATAATTATAAAATATTGGTTGATTGTCCATCTAGAACTTTGAAATCTCTCTCGACACTGAAAAATCGATGCACCAATGCCCAATATATATAAAAAGATACCTAACATTTCATAAGAAGAAATGTTCTTTGAACTTTATAAATTATATCTTCTTTCCAGAACTTGCAACAACCTTGTGAATATAGTTTTTGACATTCTAAAATTAATCATGCAATGTGATTCATGATCATTAAGAATCTCTTGAATCCAAACATCACCCTACTGTTTCGAGTTCATGTATGGTTGTTTCAATAAATACTTTTCACAATATAATTGCACAAAGGAAGTTACAACTCTAAACAACCTATTATAGCTCTGCACATGTTACGAAATATCATTATTCTCCTTTTCATCATCATTTTCATCATCATAGGAGCTATTGATGTTACTCATGCTCATCACCTATGAAAAATTATAAGAAAAAAATTAAAC